GCTAATAATCCGGGCTGATGATCGGACACCACATCCGACTAATGATCAACAAAACCTGGCACAGATTTCTGATGTGCTCATATGAATGTACATGACATCAGCATGACGAAGCGCTAATCTGTTACGCGAGTTTATTATATATGGCAACTTTTATGTTACTAAATAAGTGTCGAACCAATAGAACAATGGATGAAAAATCTGAAAACGGAGTTCATAGATTCTTTCAGGTGTTGTATTATTTTGTTTTGCACTGAAAATTCAATTCAAAGGTTCTTCTTTTCATGCAAAAACCTCAATGAAACCGTTCTTACGTAGATATCAGAGAATGGTAATCCCGTATGGCACAACGGGAAAAGTGATAGTTGTGCCTCACCTTCGACCAATCCTGGTAATTACAGTATGGGACGTCATATGCTTATTGTGGACACACCATATAAGTTCCCCTCCGAGAACGGGATTGCAAAACCAGACGACATATTTGATGAAAATGTTGGACCTTCTCGCCCAAAAGATTTTCGAGATGGAAGAGAATGTGCTAGCTCGTCCAACCACAGTGAACCTCACGATTTCGAAACGGAGAGGAAAGGTTCTAAGATACCTCTTCGGCGCCTCGATTCGCTGTTGGACAGGATCGCCGAACGTCAGAAGAGAGATAGAAGCTATCAACAAAAAGATAGCAGAAACAAGAGTGAACATGATGCCGACATTGTTTTCGAATGTCCCAACCAACCAGGAATTCAGAAATTGCACACATGTCTGGGGCAATTGCTCCGAATTGGTGCCTTTTGCAACTCTGCATGGACAAAGGAAACCCCAAAGACGCCGTGCTGTCTTGTATTCCCAGACACTCAACCTGAAAACCATGCAAATGGTGCCTCCCTGTGTCAAGTGTCAGTTGGTGATAAACTCACTGGCTCATCGTGCAATAATCCGCTCATTGTAGTCGAAATGGTGGACCCATCCAATTGTTCTCGTATTGCAACTTCTCTTGGCCTTGACCTCCATATCGAAACTCCTCAAGATGTTATACGTTATGTGAAAGAACATCTTTTCTGTTATATTGATGAAGTTAGAGGATATGGTTTCAATCATATCATTATCATTGGGCAACGTTACTGTGGAATGCTTTTCCTAGACTGCTACGGCCGCGTGTTTGATTTGGACAATAATAATAACATATTATGGTTTCATTGTGATTATTTCGAAAAGATGACAAATAAAGCTGATTTCAAGGTGCCATGGCACGTATTGGATGATGGAACTCTATTTGAGTTCGAAAAATGTGTGTATATGTATTTTTGTTTATATTTTATTTTAATCTTTTATAAATATATTTTCTTTCAGCTTTACTAGAAAAAAACACTTACGTATTGGAGGATGGAACTGTAATTGAGCTTGGTGAATGTATGTGTATGTATTTTTGCTTGAATTTTATTTTAACCTTTTATAACTGTATTCTTTTCTTTAAGGTTTACCAGAAAAGCACAATGCGAAGAAGAGCAAGAAAAATAAGAAAAAACGTCATTGATTTGGTAGTAAGTCCATGACTCTTGGTATAGCATAGAAATCTGGATGCTGTGTGGTTGATAATGCAAGGCTTTGGTTCTAGTGGGTCTTGAAATTTATTGCCCTTCTAACTTGTTAATCGATCAGGTTAGCTGCTTCTTTATTGAAAAGTATACCTTGAGTTCTATACTTGATGATCGCCTGTAGTACTGCTATAATAATATATAAGACCATCTTGTCAGTGAGTGATTTGGTTTTGATTTTTCTATAGATGATTTTTATACTAGTATAGATAATGTTCTTGGTGAGCTCATTCTTATTTGATCTGCATAGCCATACTCCCAAATATCTTGCTGGAGTATTGGATTCTAGTATATGGATTGCTCCATTACTTGTACTCAGTAGTTCTAATTTACCGCACTACATTAACACTAGTAAAAATTGTCCCAGTGAATAATTAGTATGCACATTGCAAATTGGTAATTATGTCAATACAAGCACTTATCGCCTCAAATGCTGGGAGGCTTATCAAAATTCAATCCAAATAGTAACGATGAAAGTGTAGACTATTGATTTCGAATATTAATGTCATGCCTCGTAGAGGCGCCTTCAGGCCTTACCAATTCAACTCGATATTCACTATTTTTTCGGATACATTACGCGTTAATAACCCTTTAGGGTTGTCCCTTCGGTCCTGCATAGCAATGGGACTTATTTCGGGAGAAATGGCACTTCGTGCCTGTCCCTATCAATCTTGATCAATAAACCCACTATTTTTCTATCGCTAGCTATACATGTTCCACGAGATTCTGTCATTTCTCCGAAATACTTCTACACTGATCTCTGATTCACGGATTTGAAACCCATGACATAGCCCCTGGGCCCATTATAACGTGATGTGATTTCGTGGTTATAATTATATAATTAATTTTGTGACTATACAGTATATAAGATCAGATGCGTTAATATATGTCAAAGATACTACATGTAGCTCCTCTATAAAGCTTGATAATTAACTTTACCTTTTACTTTACGCTTTCAAATGGGGCGTTTCTTTACCGCGCCAGTCTTATGCACATGCATAACTTCTATTTTAGAACTGGATAAAGTATCTGAGTTCGAGATATCTGAATTAGAAGAAGTATTATCTGACTTCAGATTCTTATAGAATGATATAACTCCACCATAGATTGAAATTCTTTCATCATAAGGATCAATTTTTGTTTTATACAATCACAACTATGACATTCCTAATACAAGATCAGCTTTAGATTTTTTGCAGACTACAAAATCATTTAAAAATTCATCAATACCAGATATTAATTTATTCTTATTCTTAAATCAAAAAGATAATTTAAGACTTTTCACAACATCTACAGCTTATTTCCCTTTAATATATTTTGATGAGTTACTATATTTTATTTCAAGTTTATTGACTAAGCTTTTTTTAATGATATTTTTAGCTGATGATATATCAATTAATATCTTAACCAAGTAAGACTCATAACCCTCTTCATGAATTTTATATTTTACATATATTATCTTGTAATATGATTTATATTATGTATTATATTTTTATTCAAATAATTATTTATTCATTCTTTAATATTAAATAAAATTATTTGTAACTCATGATAGATGATTAGAAATAATTTTGTTAATCTTTCTGAGATAATTATTAAATATGAAAATAAAATTGATATTATGTATTTTGATATTAGCTCTACTATTATCTTGTATTATTCTACTTATAACTAAAAGAGATATATTCATTGCTTCAGAATTGTTAAATTTAGACTCTGTTTCAGAATTACTAGATTCAAATTTCATCTCAGAATATTCTAAATCATAATATTCACTTAGATTAATTAGGTTATTTTTATCAGAAAAATAAGTTAAAATTATATCTTCATCTTTATCTATTTTAATTAATTTAGAAAATAATATTTCATAAAATATATATAATAAATAAGATAATATTTTTATACTATCTTCTTTCTGATAATATTTCTTCTTTTTCTCCTAAAGAATATTTTTATATATTTAATAATCATAGTAATTAATATTAATTTCTTGCTCTGTTAATCATGAACTTTTTAAAACTAAATCATATTCAGGTTTGTTAATAATTACAAAATTAGTAAATGAAATATTTAAATATCAAGATAAAAATTTTAATTTTTCTAATTTAAAAATATTTGACAAAGTAACAAAAACTTTTTCTCTATCAATTTAATCTCTTTTCATTACTTTCATATCAGTATTTATTATATCAATATCAAAATCTTTTACTATAAAATATTTTAATTTATACATTCTTGTAATATATAGATTTATTTTTTGAATAAGTATTTTACTAATATTATAATACTTGAATTTAGAGTTAATTAGTACTTTAACAATTATTTTTTTATTAATAAATATATAATACATTATTAATTTTTTGTGAATTTCTCTAATCATTTCAGTTTTTCATATATTATCTAAACTAAAAATAGCATAATAAATATGTGATATTTATTTATTATCTATTATAATATATTACAACTTCAAAATTTCATAAGTTATAATTAGTTATAATTAAATAATACTTATTTATTACTATATTATAACAGTTAAGAAATTATCTTTAATCTAAACTATAATAATTTTTAAAATCTTGAATTAAAAGATATTTTATTATAAATAATATTGATTCTGATAAAAAAAGATCAAGTAAATTAGGTATTACTAATTAGTATATATCAAAAATAACTAATATTTAATTAATTAATTTAGATGTATTTTTAAATTCATATTTATAAAATAATTTAATATTTATAATAATTAAAGCTAATAATTCTAAGATAATATAAAGTATTTGTAAAAAATTTGAAATAATATTATAATTAATCACCTATTCATATGATATAGTAGATACAGCGTAGTATATAGTATAGCTGTAATATGTAATGCAGTAATCATTAATTACTACTAAATCAGGTAAATAAATAATTTATATTAATTAATCTTATTTATAATTAATTCTATTTTTAGTTTATATTATTACTTATATTTAGTCTTATTCT